CAAAATTTGAGAAAAAAAATTTGGTCAAAAAATTTTGGTCAAAAAAATTTTGGAAAAAAATTTTGGGAAAAAATTTTTGAGAAAAAAATTTTGAAAAAAAAATTGGGACAAAAAATTTTTAATAATTAATTGTCCAAGCAGTAATGCTTGGTAACCGTCGCTAACATAAAATTTTCAGTAAATCAATAAAATAGTAATAATCATAAGAAAGTTTTGGAAAAAAAATCGTAGTCGTGTGAAAATTTCGAGTTAGCGAGTCTTGCTATGGCAACGAAAATCGCTATAATAATTTTACTGAAAATTGTTGGCGACGGTTGCTATGTCAACGGGTGCCATGAATTTAATAATTAATTGTCCAAGCAGTAATGCTTGGTAACCGTCGCTAACATAAAATGTTCAATGAAATCATAAAAATAGTAATAATCATAAAAAAAGTTTTGTAAAAAAAATTTTGGGAAAAATTTTTGAGAAAAAAATGTATTGGAAAAAATATTTTTAGAAAAAAAAAAATTTTAGAAATAACTTGTTAATTAATTAAAATATATCCACAATTAAATCTTAGAACTAGAATATGTAAAAAGATATCTAAATCGGGTCTTAGCGCCAGAATATTTTAATAGTATCAGTTTTATACTCATATCGTCATATGGTTCCATACAAAAATGCCTCTGTGTCATTGAGAGCTAGGTCTAAATTGAAATAACTTGTTTAATAATTAAAAATATATCTACAATTAAGTCTTAGAACTAGAATATGTAAAAAGATATCTAAAATTGGGTCTTAGTACCAGAACATTTTAATAGTATAAGTATTATACTCATATCGTCATATAGTTCCATACCAAAATGCTTCTGTGTCATTAAGAGCTAGGTCTAAATTGAAATAACTTGTTTAATTAATTAAAAATATATCTACAATTAAGTCTTAGAACTAGAATATGTAAAAAGATATCAAAAATCGAGTCTTAGTACCAGAATATTTTAATAGTATAGTATTATACTCATATCGTCATATAGTTCCATACCAAAATGCTTCTGTGTCATTAAGAGCTAGGTCTAAATTGAAATAACTTGTTTAATTAATTAAAAATATATACAATTAAGTCTTAGAACTAGAATATGTAAAAAGATATCAAAAATCGAGTCTTAGTACCAGAATATTTTATAGTATAAGTATTATACTCATATCGTCATATAGTTCCATACCAAAATGCTTCTGTGTCATTAAGAGCTAGGTCTAAATTGAAATAACTTGTTTAATTAATTAAAAAATAATCTACAATTAAGTCTTAGAACTAGAATATGTAAAAAGATATCAAAAATCGAGTCTTAGTACCAGAATATTTTAATAGTATAAGTATTATACTCATATCGTCATATAGTTCCATACCAAAATGCTTCTGTGTCATTAAGAGCTAGGTCTAAATTGAAATAACTTGTTTAATAATTAAAAATATATCTACAATTAAGTCTTAGAACTAGAATATGTAAAAAGATATCAAAAAATCGAGTCTTAGTACCAGAATATTTTAATAGTATAAGTATTATACTCATATCGTCATATGTTCCATACCAAAATGCTCTGTGTCATTAAGAGCTAGGTCTAAATTGAAATAACTTGTTTAATTAATTAAAAATATATCTACAATTAAGTCTTAGAACTAGAATATGTAAAAAGATATCTAAAATCGGGTCTTAGTACCAGAATATTTAATAGTATAAGGGTTATACTCATATCGTCATATGGTTCCATACCAAAATGCCTCTGTGTCATTGAGAGCTAGGTCTAAATTGAAATAACTTGTTTAATTAATTAAAAATATATCTACAATTAAGTCTTAGAACTAGAATATGTAAAAAGATATCTAAAATCGGGTCTTAGTGCCAGAATATTTTAATAGTATAAGTATTATACTCATATCGTCATATGGTTCCATACAAAAATGCCTCTGTGTCATTGAGAGCTAGGTCTAAATTGAAATAACTTGTTTAATTAATTAAAAATATATACAATTAAGTCTTAGAACTAGAATATGTAAAAGATATCTAAAATCGGGTCTTAGTACCAGAATGTTGTATAGTATAAGTATTACACTCATATCGTCAAATGGTTCCATAAAAAAATGCCTCTGTGTCGTTGAGAGCTAGGTCTAAATTGAAATAACTTGTTTAATTAATTAAAAATATATCTACAATTAAGTCTTAGAACTAGAATATGTAAAAAGATATCTAAAATCGGGTCTTAGTGCCAGAATATTTCAATAGTATAAGTATTATACTCATATCGTCATATGGTTCCATACAAAAATGCCTCTGTGTCATTGAGAGCTAGGTCTAAATTGAAATAACTGTTAATTAATTAAAAATATGTCTACAATTAAGTCTTAGAACTAGATATGTAAAAAAATATCTAAAATCGGGTCTTAGTGCCAGAATATTTTAATAGTATAAGTATTATACTCATATCATCATATGGTTCCATACAAAAATGAATCTGTGTCATTGAGAGCTAGGTCCAAATTGAAATAACTTGTTTATTTAATTAAAAATATATCTACAATTAAGTCTTAGAACTAGAATATGTAAAAAGATATCTAAAATCGGGTCTTAGTGCCAGAATGTTGTATAGTATAAGTATTACACTCATATCGTCAAATGGTTCCATAAAAAAATGCCTCTGTGTCGTTGAGAGCTAGGTCTAAATTGAAATAACTTGTTTAATTAATTAAAAATATGTCTACAATTAAGTCTTAGAACTAGAATATGTAAAAAAATATCTAAAATCGGGTCTTAGTGCCAGAATATTTTAATAGTATAAGTATATACTCATATCATCATATGGTTCCATACAAAATGAATCTGTGTCATTGAGAGCTAGGTCCAAATTGAAATAACTTGTTTATTTAATTAAAAATATATCACAATAAAGTCTTAGAACTAGAATATGTAAAAAGATATCTAAAATCGGGTCTTAGTGCCAGAATGTTGTATAGTATAAGTATTACACTCATATCGTCAAATGGTTCCATAAAAAAATGCCTCTGTGTCGTTGAGAGCTAGGTCTAAATTGAAATAACTTGTTTAATTAATTAAAAATATATCTACAATTAAGTCTTAGAACTAGAATATGTAAAAAGATATCTAAAATCGGGTCTTAGTGCCAGAATATTTCAATAGCATAAGTGTTATACTCATATCGTCATATGGTTCCATACCAAAATGCCTCTGTGTCATTAAGAGCTAGGTCTAAATTGAAATAACTTGTTTAATTAATTAAAAATATATCTACAATTAAGTCTTAGAACTAGAATATGTAAAAAGATATCAAAAATCGAGTCTTAGTACCAGAATATTTTAATAGTATAAGTATTATACTCATATCGTCATATAGTTCCATACCAAAATGCTTCTGTGTCATAAGAGCTAGGTCTAAATTGAAATAACTTGTTTAATAATAAAAAATATATCTACAATTA